GTAGTCCCACTTGACACCTCACTAAGTCTTCTACAAGGAGGTTTTGGTCCATCGTGTATTGTTACGCAGCTAGAATATGGATCAATATCATGTCCTGGACCAATACTGCCATTAAAGCCATGGCTATTAGTTGTAGTGAGATAATTACTAATAGATGTTCTATGGGTCTTTACTGGGACCCGGGTTGTAACTGTAGATATGGACGAGATGGCACTCTCATTCTAAGCCCTTATTTTCAGTGGCTGATAACTTCCCCTCATGTGGTCTCTTGGTCTAAAATTTCTCATGCTTGGTCTCATGCTTGGTCTCAACTCATAAATGAATTTTTTGAGGGGGAGGGAAGAAATTGAATCAAAATCAGTTCAGTCATTTTTGAGTATGAAACAATAGTTTTTTCCTCAAGATAAGACATTTTACTCTTACATATTTTAATATTGAAATTTAGAAGTTTAGATTTTCAACTTCAAAATGACCTTCTATCTATATATAATCCTCCATATAGAACTTGTGCTATGCTAAGTTTAAAAAGAAAAACACTTGAGAGGTAAAATTACTTTCAACTACTGACTATGGGATGCTGTGCATATCCTGTGTTATTTTGCTTATCATATATAACTCAATTCTTTCCCTTTATCCAGCATGTATAGAATACATCTGGGTATCTACACGAAAGGTAGGCAAATAGATTAGAAAGTCACATTTCTGAGTATGAGTTTGGATAACCTGGTAACAAAACCTCCTCACATTCCAAGCAGAGAAAGGCTGGTGCTCTTAAAGTCCATTCCCATAGCAGGGGAATGAGGTAGCAGGAGAGGATCTCTGGATGTGCAGGGAAGCAGCTGTGTCTCTCTTTCTCCTGCCCCCCTCAAACACTGTTTCCTTTATGGGTATTTTCTACTTTATTCTTTCTTGATTTGCATTAGTTTTTCTATGAATTTAATGATGGGCACAAACAAAGCCCTTTTCCAAACTCCATAAAATTATGGTTTTTTTTTCAGAACTTGAACCTAAATCTGTATTTGCTAATGGCCCCCATCTTTAACGTCAACTGGTCCTAACACCCAAAAATTCTGAGGAGTTCAATATCAGGGTCTAACTGTTGTGGCTTGTGTCTACTTGAAGTGAAGCAATAAGGAGGTTTCCCTTTTGATTTAAAAGAAAGGCTGGACATTATCTCCTGCTGAGAAAGACATTCTGGAGTTTCCATTTCCTTTAAGCACTGAGGTTCTTCTCCCATAAATGAAACTTTTCACTGACTACAAGTTCTGAATTTCTTCTAACTCAACACTTTTAGGTCTCCATCCAAAGGCCAGAGTTTTACCTGGTTGAGAACAGGTTTGTACTTGAGCCCTGGTTTGTTCAGGATCATCTCCAGCTGTCTGATGTTGAAGTTGGACACTCCAATGGACTTCACCAAGCCTGCATCTTTACATGCCTCCATGGCCTGGGGAAAACAACAATGGCCAGTTCCATTATCACTACTGGTAGTATAATTTCCATAAGACTAGAAAAATTATGCTCAACCAGGCACACTCCATGTAAAATTATTCCACCAAAATATCATTACACATACAGTAGGGGACATTTGATTTGTTCTAGAACAAAACTCTGATTTAGAGACAGTCATTTTCTAACCGTTCTCTTAGGCATCAGATCTCCGTCCAATCCACTGAAATAAAGTAATCTTTTCCCCCAGTAGAAAGTAGACAATCTGGCCACTGTCTCTCCCAGTTGCTTTCTCTCTAATTTGTCCCTTACACATACAGAACCTCAAAGACATAGCGATACCCAATCATTGCTAGTGAACAATACAGAAATAAGGATACCACATAAGTATGGGACTACGAACACCAGTTTAAGAGTTTTATAGCAAAAAAATAATTGAGTATGAAAATTAAAGGGAAAACACAAGAAATATTGAAGGAGATGGACAGGTGCAGGGGTCACCGTTAGAATGTCTCTATTTACTGACAGTAGCCATGCTGTGGTGTCTGAGATGCGCCAGTGTTTCCCTGCTCTCATAATAGAAAATGACTGCAGAGTCTCAGATCACAAGCAGTGCTACGATAACAATGATACTGTAGCCAAATCCTGTTTACTTTTTACATTTAATAGAAAAAGCTTGCTAGAGTCCACTGAAGGGAAGGCACATATCACAGAGGAAGTTTTAGCTTTTTCCTTTTAAATGAGGGAGTTTAGTTAATGCTCATGAAACTGAGGAACCAATAGCACTAATTAGAACCTTGGATAAAGTGAGCAGACACTATGGTAACTTCCCCAAAGCTCTGTCAATGCACCTCAATTCTAACCTGATGGCCCTTTGTATTTCATTTCTGGCTTCTCTTGATATAGAAGCGCCAATGGTATTAAACTGACTGATGGGTTTTGTAATGTGGATAAGTGTGGACAGACTTTGAACCTAACTCTTCAGTGCTGGCTGGCTAATAAGCTGCAGTGCCGAGCCACTTAAAGAGCATTAGCTAAAGAATTAGGGATCTGATGGAGTCCTCATCTTGGCTGACTCTAGGGCAGAATATTTCATCCCTCCTCTGTGGAAAACATCACCTGTAAAGCCCAGACTACAATTCTGTCCCTGACAATGCCTTTGGCAATATCCCTGTCCTAAGAACAGGGAAGGCTAAAGCATCTCAAAGTGCGGTTCTGCTCTACAAAGTGATTCTGTTAAAAAAAAAAAAAAAGCATGTGAGATTTCATGTTTATTGTCTCTCAGTGATTTCCCCCTTAAATCTGCTCAGTTCACACGTAAAAATACATTTCACTTAACTAGCTACCCTGAATACTCATTGAGGGTCTGGGCTATGCACAGTTATTGTACTGGTTTAATTCTATCAGTCTGACACTGATGGAGTTAACCTTCCCTAGTATGATGGGGCAGCTCCTACAGCAGTCAAGAAAGGGTTAAAGAGCTCCTCTGGGCACAACCCACCACACGCATGAGACTTGTCAAGCCTGGAGTAGGGTAGGACCTTAAAAGGGAGGATACTGGCTCAGTCTGGGTAGGAATCTGGTGTGAGCAGAGCTAGAGCTCCCCAGAAGACAGGGGTTGTTTCCTGGGAAAACTGCGTGAGCACACTGGCCTCCTGGGCCCCCTGAGGAAGTAGAGGGACTGGCTTTTCTATACTTTTCTATACATTCTCCTTTGCCCTCTTAAAAGGTCCTATGACTGAAAAACCCCGGAAATCTGAGCGCTTTCTGGGTAACAGTCAGCTGGCTGCCTAAGGAAACTGGATGGGCTCTTAATTAACACTGTGTTATTCATGTCACTCACCTCCCAAGTTTGACGCAGATCTACAATATCAAAAATGATTTTTCCATTTTCATCCTTTGGGATTGGATCTGTCCCGGGCTAAAAACAAAAGGGAAATCCCCCTTGGTCATGATGCTTTTTACACAAGTTGATTTTAACTATTTTGTGGCCAAGGAAGGAGTTGTAAGGAGGAGGAGTGGGGGAGGGAAGGTGTTGAACTCTAAAGCTGGATAAAAGCAATAGAATGGTTTTATCTAAAATGTGGAAATGGCAGAAGTGCTAACTGACCTTTTTGTTTCAGTTTTCACCGAAAAGGTTAGTACTGATTGGATCTCTACCCATGAAAATGAGGTAGGATCAGGGGTGCCGGAACAGGAGGGGCCAGGTGGCCATGCCCCCCCCCCACCATTTTTTACCAGTCATAAGGGCGAGTGACAGGAGGCAGAAAAGAACGAGCAGGGAATGGTGTCTAGGGGGGAATACGAGCAATGGGAGCTGGGGAAGAGGCGGCAATGTGGGAGCGGGGTCTTTGGGGGAATAGGCAGTTTGAGGGCGGTGGATCAGGGAGAAGGGGTGGCATCAGGGCGGGGGCTTGGAGAAAAGGGGTGTTGTGGGGCCTCGGTTCGGGCGCCTGTGCCCTCCCATCCTTTTAGGGTACTTCCGCCACTCCTGCATAGGATATGAGACTAAAATAGGGAAAGAACAAGTTAAAAATTACTTAGAGAAGTTAGATGTCTTTGAGTCACCAGGGCCTGATGACTGAGGAGATATCTGAACAATTAGTGATTGTCTTTGAAAAGTCATGGAAGATGGGAGAGATTCCAGAGGACTAGAAAAGGGCAAATATAGTGCCAATCTATAAACGGGGAAATAAGGACAAATCAGGGAACTTCCTAACTATCAGGGTGGTTAAGTACTGGAATAAATTGCCTAGGGAGGTTGTGGAATCTTCATCATTGGAGTTTTTTAGGAGCAGGTTAGACAAACACCTGCCAGGAATGGTCTAAATCAGTGGTTCTCAACCTATTTACTATTGTGGGCCATATCCAATACTACCTGTATGGCCCTGAGGATGTCACATGGGCCGCAGCTCTGTGTTGATTGGGCTGCAAGTGGCACGTGGGCCGCAGGTTGGGAACCACTGGTCTAGATAATGCTTGGTCTTGCCACAAGTGCAGGGGACTGGACTAGATGACCTCTTAAGGTCCGTTCCAGTCCTATGATTCTACCTTGAACTGAAATGAATGCCTAGAAATAATTTTGTGTCAATAAGAGGATATGTGTTGATACTGGAAAATTAATTAACTCAGCTAAGCACTACTATAAACAGTATAAAATTCTGTTTATACTCAGTGAAAACAAAGCATGCATGTCAAAAGCAATTAGTGCCTAGAGATATTATAGATAAAACATATGTGGTGTCACAGAAAACTGATAGCTTCTCTGACAAAAAGAAAGAAGTTTGAATTAATGAACACATGATTAATAAGCTAAAGAAGTTATAGTTGATTACAACTGATCACAGTAACCCAAGGTTAGTTTTATAGATTATTGGTGAATTTCCAGAGTAACTAGAGATAGCTTTTGATCATTAAGTGTATATTTGAATTTAGAGAGTTCCCAAGATAGTTTGTAAATTTGCCAGTCCACACATATATATGTATATTTTAGTGGCATAGTGTGAACCAGGTAGCATATGATGTTTTAATAGCAAGGATTAAAAGCATAACCTACGTGCTTAATATAGATTGATTGTCAAGGACAGACAATATGAGTTTCCCCCCAAAAATATTTCATTATAGACTGTGCTTCATGCATTAGTTTTTCTTTTGTCTTTTGCCTTCCCCTCGAACACCCATCATAGGCTACTTCTGTAGGCTGGACGTAGGACTAGATGGACTACGGGTCTTTTTCAGAACAGCTCTGCTCTGGCCCATGGATATACTACCAAACATTTGTTTTCCTGTGTATATTTTTTAAAGAAATGTTTACCTTTAGAGACATGGGGTTGTGGATAATGAAGAGATCAAGATAGTCAAACTTAAGTTTCTTCAGTGATTGTTCCAGGCAGCTTCGGACAAGTTCAGGACGGTGAAAGGTACTCCAAAGCTGTAATGATTCAAACACAACTGTTCTTTCTGAAAAAGTCCTCTCTTGTCTCTTCTTTCTGTAAAAACCACTTTTCTAAAATGTCTTAGTTGTGTCATACCGCTGGCTTTACCTTTTTAACAGAAGGGTTGTGTTGTGAGGTGGTTGTGTGCAAAGATGCACATGAGAGTAAGAAGTGAATGTTTCCTGAAGAAGCAGGGCGAGCGGCTGAAATGCAGCCAGGATGTCAGAAGTGCACTTGGTCCGTACAGGAACTCTATGTGAGGCCACTCTCAAGGTTAAAATCTTTTGGGCTAAATTTGTTGTCCTGGGTTATTGGGAGTCACTCTGTTGTCTGACTTCAGGAGTCGGCCCTGAATGAAGTAGCCGTTTTAGCTTTGCTTTCACACAGGTAGAGATGAGCCTTGTGCTCAAACCTGTAACTTGTTATAGAATGCAGTTTCCCAATTCTGTGAATAATACTCCCCTAAATGCAATCTTTTTAAAATTGTCCTTGACATTGACAACATTCTTCATAAATTAGACAAAATAATTAGCTCAAGAAGCAGTACGATAAAAATACCGATGTTAAAACAAAACCCACTTACCTTTCCTGTGTAAAATATGTCCTCTCTTTTGACTGTTCTGTCTGCAATCTTCTTGTGAATGGCTCGCCCAACCTCCTCCTCAATCCCATATATAAAGGCTCCATCAATATGGCGGAAGCCAACTTCAATAGCCACCTTTGTAGCCTCCTCACATTTACTTTTTTGAACCTACCGGTTAAGAAGGT